CGATGATTAGATTATTATAAATTAGATTAGCAGTGGTTGTTAAAGGATTTATTATTGATCAGCAATAGCTTCTACTGCCACTGCCACTTCGAGGCTTGGTTTCCTCAATGTCCTGGCACATACGATTTTCGACGTCGCTATAAGAGGGAAGGCATTGTGCGATCTTGTAGTGGATCGGCCTTGTCGAACACATCCGGGCAATTATCCCACCAGCATCTCACGTTCACAAGTATTCCGTTCAGGTGCGTATTAGAGACACGGACGGTCAGTGCTCGACCAAAGGCTGGCTATTTCCAATGATCCCCTTTCACGACGAGCTTGAGTCTTCGCAGCGAGTTCTTCACTGTGAGTATCTTCAACGACATTGACTAAGTCGTGTCTGTCTCGTTCCAGGCAACCTCATGACAAGAAGTGGGCAAAACCGAATGCCTGACTTTAGCGAGTCCACGCAAGAAGAGACATTGGATCTCATCTAGTAATTATGTACTAGAAAAAAAAAGTTTTTTGTTTTTGTCTTGGGACATGGACGCCTCTATTCTAGTAGAAAGTTTGACCGACACTTTTTCATGACTCGGCGACCACTTCTTCGAGGAGAGGAAGTGCTTCAAATTCTTCTAGGCAAGTCTTTGGAATTACAACGGCCTGTGGAGTGATGGAAGTCTCCAACGTTGACTTGCATTTAACTAATTTGAGACGACTTGCATTTAACTAATTTGAGATGACTTGCATTTAACTTTTTTTTTTTTTTTTTTTTTTTTTTTTTTTTTTTTTTTTTTTTTTTTTTTTTTTGGTTTTTTTTTTTTTTTTTTTTTTTTTCTTTTTTTTTTTTTTTTTTTTTTTTTTTTTTTTTTTTTTTTTTTTGATTCTAATGAGAATCATCATTCTTAAAGAAAAATATGCTATATCAACTATTCTGGCCTCCTAATCCTAGAACAACTCCCAGGCCTCCCTATACCAGGACACTGTACCTCAAAGACAAAACCAACCTAACTAGTTGTCAACCATAGTTGATCTCTTCTCGCTTCATTGCAGCCCCCCCCGGTTCACCACTAGACTGCCTTCCACCCTCAGCAAACCCCAGATCTCTCTACAAGGCCTCACGCTCCTGCTATTAACAGGTTACAGGGCAACGCCCCAGCTCCGGCCAGCGTCGCTCTGGCATCGGCAAATCAAGGGCACGGAACAGAGCAACTCAGTTGAAATCAGTGCAGGTTCAACCATCTCTGAAGTCCTATATCCCGAATGTGGAAGAATGCTAGATGCTGCCAAAAACTTCAAAACACCAAAAAGCTTAATATAACAATAATCAGATGATGAAACTAATGGTGATGATGATGATGATGATGATGATGATGATGATTATGCTATATCAGCTATTCTGGGCTCCTAATCCCAGTACAACTCCTAGCCCTCCCTGTACCAGGACACTATACTACAGAGACAGAAACAACCTGACCAACATCAACCATAGCTGATCTCTTCTCGCCTCCTTTCAACCCCCCCCGGTTCACCACTGGAATGCCTTCCACCCTCAGCAAACCCCAGATCTCTCTACAAGGCCTCACACTCCTGCAGCCTGCTATTTACAGGTTACAGGGCAACGCCCCAGCTCTGGCCAGCGTCGTTCTGGCATCGGCAAACCAAGGGCACAGAACAGAGCAACTCAGAAAATATCAGACCAGGTTCAACCATCTCTGAAGACCTATATCCCGGATGTGGAAGAATACGAGATGCAGCCAGAATTTCAGAACACCAAAAAGCTTAATATACCAATAATCAGATAATGATAGCCRAGAATTTCAGCACACCTCCATTCTCTCCATTACCCTATYTATCCCYTTACTCTAATMTGSCCCCGMTGRGATTTGATGMCCAGCCCCAGAAAAGAGTATTCCTCACAATCTGCCCATACCCCCTCCAGGATTCCACCTCCCCCCTAATGAAACCCCTGGGGGGCAGGGCTCTCCCCTACCCCCTCACCAAATTGTCATTCCACTTGGATTTTGTTGGAGGCGAAGGATAGCGCCCTGAAGATAATGATAACGGGAATGATGATGATGATAGTAAGGGACTATGTATGGACGAGAAGAACGACAATGAAGACACGTGAGAAGAGACTAAGTAGACGAAGGAAGAGTGAATTTAAGTGGCAGGATCAGTTGACGACAGAATGAGGGGGAATGTATAAAAAACATAAAAATAGAAAACAATAAAGGTATTACTAGCCGTTGGGATGAGTTAAAAGTCACAAACTAACTCGAGTTATTTAAGTTAAACTCACAAACTAACTCCAGTCATTTCTCGGCCTTTTGGCTAAAAATAGATCAAGTGTAGTATCTGTTGATTCTGTTCTGATCATCGGTTTATTATCAAGTCGTTCAGAAATGCTAATCAGTGATCACTATGTCCTACAAAGCTTTCATCAACCAGGGGCAAGGTCCCACTTGCACGGATTAAGAGATTCTTGTCGTTGATCTTTGCTATCTACGATCAATATCGCTTAATTCGTGTAAGTGGGATCTAGCCCCAGCATTCTCCTTTTTCTGTTTTTAAAACTGCAGTTGGATCCCAGAATTTGACTTTTTTTTTTTTTTTTTTTTTTTGAAAATAGCAACCTGCCGTCGTGTGCTCCAGTCTGTTGGTGGGGAGCAAAACTTGCTGGAAAGCGGGTCCAGCGTCCCATGTATAATTTTGTCACTGAGATTGCTCTTATGGATTTTACGCCGGGGGGCAATTACCCGGCTTCGGCTTGCTGTATAGTGAAACAGTGTTCAAGCTTAAAAAAAGAAACAAACAAAAAAAAAAAACCGGTGTGCAAGTCCGCTCTTCAATCCCCCTCTCTCTTTGCCCACTCACTGTTTTAACCATCTGAACGAAGAATGGGCCTCGCTGCGCGACTCACCAAATGTGCACAATGAGAACAAATTGTCCACAAGAACATGGAAAGATAACACACCCATAATTTTTTTGTCTTTTCTGCATTTGTCGATGTTTCGGCAGCTTTAGCGAACCTCTGGAGGCTCGCTGCAGAGTTGCAAACAAATATAGGAAACACAGCATGGTATAGACAATTTAGAGTTAGGTTTCATAATAAGGATAAATATTAAATAAGCTCAAATTAGTTAAATCATCATCATCATCATCATCATCATCATCATCATCATCATTATCTTCATCATCATCGTCAGCATAACTGACATATCATCATCATCATCATCATCATCATCATCATCAATATGAGCATCTTCATTGGTGCGTCATCATCATATTCATCTTCATCTTCATCATCATCACCATCATCATCGTCATCATCATCATCATCAGCAGCAGCAGCAGCAGAAGCAGCAGCAGCATTATTGATATTATCATAATCATCATCATGAGTATCATCATTGGTTAATCTTCATCATCATCATCTTTATCATCAGCATCATCATCATCATCATCATCATCATCTTTATCGATATCTTTTTGTTATCAGTAGAGTTTGCTCTTCAAGGCTTCGTATCGCTTTTCTGTACTGTCCTTTTTCCACTCCTTTTCCTCAATACTTGGTCTCATACTATGGCCTTTGCTTTCCACCAGTTAGTCTCATACTATGTGCATTTGATTTCTAACAGTTAGTTTTCCAGAATTGTTAAAGCACCAGTACACCACACATCGGCCCGCGGGTGTCAGCATGGAACCCGCACCACTTCGGAGGCTGTCGATTTTTTGTTTTCAAAGACGAGCCTGGTCGAGCGGCACCTCCGAGTTTTGCTTGTGGCGACAAAAAATTCCTGCAAGGCTAGGGCCCGTGTACTAGCGGTTTAAGTCTCATACTATGTGCCTTTGCTTTCCTACAGTTAGTCTCATATTATGTGCCTTTCTAACAGTTAGTCTCATACTATTGCCTTTCTAACAGCTAGTCTCATACTATGTGACTTTCTAACAGTTAGTCTCATACTATGCGCCTTTCTAACAATTAGTCTCATACTATGTGACTTTCTTATACTACATCACTTTGACTCATACTATGTGGCATGTGCCTTCCTTACTGACTCACTTTGACTCACTTTTTTTTTTTTTTTTTTTTTTTTTTTTTTTTTTTATTTTTTTTTTTTTTTTTTTTTTTTTTTTTTTTTTTTTTTAACAACACCCCTATGTGCCTTTCTTACCATTATTCTCTGACTTTTGAGTCTTTCTTACTGTCCTTTTCCTCGATTACTTTGTCTCATACTATGTGCATTTCTTATACTACATGTGTTACGGCTGTCTTTCGCCCGAATATACCCAAGAGTCTCATGCTATGTGCCTGCCTTGATGAAAAGTATCTTCTCCCTCAATACTTCGCCGCTTGCTATGTGCATTTCCTACTGTTCTTTTCCTCAATGCCTGAGAGAGGAAACCGACTTCGCAATACTTGGGCAACGTCCTCGAGAGTGACACCCTGCAAGGACAGCAACACCATTGAATGATACAAAAGGTCAGCCATTTCCGATGCTGCCCTCTCCTTCCCTTCGCTGTCTTCCAACATTCTGCAGAGCTCATCTGCCTCTTCCCGAACCTTTGAGCAGAGAAGTTTGGGATGAGACAGTAGTTTGCGAGTCCACGACGGTTTAGCAGGAGGTTCGGCAGAAGGTTTAGCAGCAGCAGCAGCCTCTCCTTCCGCGGCCCTCTCCCGAATCACTTTCTCCAACGAATAGAAGGAAGTTAATGCCTGCAAGGTGTTTTCCTTGGCGTACTCCAACCCACTGGACACAATGTCATCTGCGCGGATGAAATAGCACGTCTCCTCACCAGTGTGACATGTCGGTCCATCAGGCTTGCCTAAGTATATCACGGAGTCTCTGTCACAATCGAGGAAAACGTCGACGACATGTATGAAGTTTGCTGACGTCTCTCCTTTCGTCCAAAGGCACTGGCGACTCCAGCTGAAGAAAGTAGCGCGGCGCGATGCGAGTGTCGCCGAGACGGCATCCCTGTTTGCGAAACCCTGCATCAGCACAGCCCCTGTGTCCACATGCTGCGCAATGGCGACCACCAGTCCGTTGGCGTCCCATTTCATGCAGTCCAGCAACCTCTCCACCGCTGGCGTCATAACCAGTTTCGCACGCCCGGGAGGAATCGCCTCGTCCACATTATCCACAACCTTATCCGTAGTCTGTACAGTGTCCTTAGCCTGTGCCGCCATCACACCTGATCCTCGGCCCCGTGATCCTCGGCCCCGTGAACCTGCTTCCCTCGTACTTGGAAAAAAAAAGCAACTGCTGCTTTCTAAGCCCTGCACAGAAGTCGATGGCTGTTCGGAATTGAAGGGACACAGAGTGGCACTAATCGATCGACCTCCAGTTATCGGTGAACCTGTCTGTTGTTGACATTTCCGGCCGCTTGAGCTAACGATGATGCTACACATCGTTTGTGACACATGCTTCCTCCTCCGATCATCAGCAACTTGAAGTCGACAGCAGTTCCTTCTACAGCATCTTGAAGTCGATGAACCAGATGAGGACAACAACGATAGCGAGGTTGAAGATGAGCGGCGGACCTCAGATGACCCGCGAAACAAGGATGCGAAAGATCCTTCTAACGACGTTAACACCACTTTATGAGAGTCGCCTGTTTGTGAGAGCGGAGTGAGAACCACAGGTTTGCATATTTCTCCATGGAAGAGAGCATGCGACGTACACGCCATTGTGTCCACTCAAATGGCCTGTAAAAGAAATAAGATCGCACGCGCGCGCACACACACACACACACAAACACACACACACACACACACACACACACACACACACACACACATACTGTAGCATATCAGGAAGTGAAATGCACCAAGAGCCTAAGATCTAGCAATGATGAAAATGGCAACAACTGGCAGCATAGATGCAACATTCACAAGATGTCAATGTGCACAATGCAAAGAGTAAACCAACTAGAAATCAACAACAACACATTTGTATCATCATCATGGGCTGGGAAACAGCACAGAGGAAGTCTTAGCAACCAAAGGACACGAGGACAGGCAACATGAAAGAGGGAAACTTCGGAAGGGCAGGACATCAGAAAGATTGCCCTTCCGCTCACACACATGGGGAGAGATCCATAGACATGCGGGAGAGAAAGGGGAGAGACATAGGAGATAACCAAGTCCAACCCAAGTCTGATCTCCGAATGTCGTACACAGTTCGATCCCAATGTAGAGTGTAAGTCCGATCTGAATGTCGCGTCCAATAAGGCAGAATGCCGTGTCCAAATAATGTCTGCAGTTACCTCTATCCCTACTCTGATAAAAAAGAAGAAGAAGAAGAAGAATTTTGGAGGAGTAGGAGGAGAAGAGGAGAGGAGGAGAAGAAGAAGAAGAAGAAGAAGAAGAAGAAGGAGAGGAGAAGAAGAAGAAAGCTGGGCGCTTTCTGCACTTACCTGG